TTGTCAACAATCTTCCTAATATTTTTGCTTTCTTTTTACAGAAAGTCGAGAGAAAAATCAAACGTTACTTGATGCGACATCGAGGGAAATAAGAGAACTGAATATTTTTCTAAATATCGCACTGTGTCATTTCGCGCTAATAAATTCGAGAAACGCGATTGCGTGATCGCCATATTGTCGCATCGCGTCGCGTTCGGTTGCCGCCAGCAACTCCGACATTTTCGCGCAATTTTCTCGCCGAAAATGAAATGTCGCGTGTATGAATTCACGTCGAGAGTGTCAAACATGGTGTTGAGTAATTGCCGTGTTAAGTGCAAATTAATCGCGCTTCTCATATCTGAGTGCGACGAATCTTTCTTGATGAGCAGATCCATCAGATGATCATGGCGCCAAAAACTTTTTAACGGTGAGTAGATATTTTATCAGGTATCGATTTCGAAGTGGTGTCTACTATTTGGAAAAATCTGAAAAATGTGGAATTCTCAAGGAATTTAAGATGAATTTATTTTTTAATAATTTTCCAAAAGTTGAATTTTTTTATGTATTATATATTTTGTTTGTAACTTTTGACTTGAAAATTTTGTATGTAATTTTGTTTATGTAATATAAAATATTTCTTGTTTAGAGCTCGTATAGTTTCTTTAAATATTTTTTAAATTTAATAGCTATTGAAACTCGAGAGAATTTTTATTCTGTTTTGAATAAACTTGTATGAGTAGAAAATATTAAGGACTTTATATAATACATAATAAATTACATAATAAATATATATTTATTTATAAGATACATTTAAAAATATTTTTATTTTATCTGAAACTTTTAATAAATTGTTTTGAAAATAAAAAAAATTCTCAAGGAATAAATTTCAAATTTGAGTAGACATCCTGTCATTTATTTGTTTCTTGTTTTAAACATTTGCTAATTAAATCAAATATTCAAGTAAATGTATATGTATTTTGTGAAAATGTGTGATTGTTAATTATAATTATTTTCAAATGTTAATGGGTTAGTTTGAAGGCAATCGTTTATTCTTGATTAGAAGGAGGAGGAAAGAATTTTTCACAATTTCCCGTTGCCGAGGACATTGAATATTGCGATTGCGTACTCGCATCTTTGTTTAAATTGCTCATCTAGTAAGAATATATTTCAAAATTCACTGGTCGAGTTTGTCTCACATATTATATCGGTATAGCATATTATAGTAATTTAGCGATAGTACGTTTGAGTCGATCGATAGTACGTTTGAATCAAAACCGATTATTATATCGTGAATATAGGTTCAATCAAAAATAAAAAGTTAAAAAAAGATTGGAAAAGTAAATATTAGATATGCTATATCTTATACTTATTTATGTCTATTGTGTGTAACGTTTGATCTTCATTTCAAATTTTCATTTCTAAAATTTGATATTTCCTGTTCCTAATATTCCCTCCATTGTACGCAAGACTTAAGTATAGTGTATTTATCCCGCTTTTTTTATACTCCGCTTTCGGTAGACGTCATTTGGTCGTTGTCGGTAACAGTCGCACGTTCTGTAACACTGCTTTATCCGACGCTTTAAAATTATAAAATGGCCACGACCATGGAAATCGACGATGATGATTGTGATTTGCCGACCTCCAGCAGCGGGAAAGGCGAAAAGAAGCGTTTCGAAGTGAAGAAAGTAAGTGAGAATCACGCAGTATGGATTATATAAAATTAATTTTACTCGTAGTCGCCGCGCGGCTTGCAAATGTAATTCCTAACCTCATTTACGCTTTATCACTTCACTCTATTTCTTGACACACGTGCGTTTTGTTATCTTTTTGAGCGATTAAACATGATTACATTTTTTTCAGTGGAATGCGGTGGCTCTGTGGGCTTGGGGTAAGAATGACTAAGTATTATGATTATGCAGTCTTTGAGATGCAATATAATAGATATAATGAGATTATTTAACATCTTTATTATACATATTTTACTTATTTAACATCAATCTTTTGCATATGTCCTTCAGATATCGTCGTGGACAATTGTGCTATTTGTCGTAATCATATCATGGATCTCTGTATTGAATGTCAGGCGAATCAAGCATCTGCTACTAGTGAGGAATGCACAGTAGCCTGGGGTGTATGCAATGTAAATTTGACAATTTTGATGTTAGTATCATTAAGATTTTAGAGCTTACAGTAATCACCTGTTATTATTTTCAGCATGCCTTTCATTTTCATTGTATTTCACGTTGGTTGAAGACACGACAAGTCTGTCCACTTGATAATCGTGAATGGGAATTTCAAAAGTAAGTAAACTTGTTTCATGAAATATAAGTTTCAAGAATATACATACATATTTTTATCTTATTCTCAAAATAAAAAATTCAAATTAGAAATGTTAAATTTAAAAATTTATAAACAGATATCTGTAACACCTTAACAATACCAAATTATTAATAATTAATTTAATTAATTTTATATGATACAGTTTATATTGAATGGTATTTGTTCTCTATATTTGTCTATGGTATACATCGTGATTTGTATAGTGATGATGACGCTGAAAATACTTTAAGAGTTTAGTTTTATCCTTAATAAGATTTTAAAATATAAATTTTTACATGTTAATAAGATCTACTACACTTGCTTCTGTGTCAATTCTGAAATAATTAAATTTTTATAATTTTGTCATTTCTATTTACAGATATGGTCATTAATTGGATATATTCAACTGTATTAGCCAGAAATCTGTGCTGCTATTTATATTAAATATAATACAAGTATATTAGGAGATTCTCTTCATAAAAAATACTTTGTAAGAAAGTGACGAACATATGAAGTGAAAATAGGAAAAAAATAAGAGCAGAAAAATAGGAGAACTTATATATAGACTAATCAACTAATTTTTTGTTATAAAAATTTCAATTGCAAACAAAATTAATTAAAACAATCACAATCATCAAATTATTCAATTATGTAATTTTTTTGTATAGATTATAAGTCTTATAATAAATGAAAATTGTTCACATGCTTCCGATGATTTATCCACATTATTCCTGTCGTTATTTTTTTAAACGTCAATCTCTAATTTTGAAATATTATGGAATATTAAATTAAATTTTGATATTTTTGATCAAACATGCATTTTTAGATACATTAGCATTGTATATTAGTTATTTGTATTTTTTTTAAAAGTATTTAATGTTTTAATTTGTATTTTTTATAAAGATTCTTTTAACCGTAACTTTGATTAATCCGATTACCCGATCTTTCAGAGATTTCGTCTAGCAAAAGTTTCGTCCCGTTCTGTCGCAAGAATCATGTGAAGTGAATACGAAAGGAGTAGGGGGTAAAAGCATTACTCTTTTTACCTCTGAACGCATGCTACTACTATTACACTCTCCTTTTGATCCAATAACTTTAATTCTGATATCAATCGATTTGAAAAAAATTTCTCGTTTTATGCAATTCGAAGACTCATATATTAAATTGATCATTATATCTTTTTAATAGTTCACTGCTTTGTTTAAACGAGATGTCATACACGGCTTATCTGGTTCGCCTTAAGCTTAAGTATTAATAGCAATGACATTTATTTAATATAGTTCAGTTAATAGATCTTCATTACGCTCAAGGCGATTCTGCAAATCCATGTCTATGCGAATACATAGCTCCTTAACGAGATATAACGGGCAACCATCGTCGTCCGTGACGTCACGTCGTAAGACCGATCGATCGTACCAAGATCATCTCTCGAATCCCTTTTCCAGTTCTAGGGCATTCAGTAGGAGGCTGGCATAGGGCAGGCAATACTTATCAGGTAGGCGGAACTACCGGGGGTAGTCCCGATGAGCTGGCTTCTAATCTGGGCATACAGCGAAAATTACATCTTCTCGCAGGATGGCCGGGGAAAGGAGAGCCGGTCTGCCTAGAGAGAGCAATGGTAAGCTACTTCCATCTCGATTCTCCGTCGTCTGGCTCTAGATCTTGCCGCCTTATTCGGGGATTCGTGTGCGGGACAAAAAAAATAAAGAAAAAAAAGAGAGAGAGAGAGAGAAAGAGAAAGAAGTAACTACAGTCCTCACCTGTTCTAAGAGGACTTATGAATAGTGAGGCGTGAGAAGGGGCGAGATCACCTTCAGTCTCTCTCGGGGAAAGCGCACACCTAAGGAGGGGGGGGGGAAGAACCCGTGGGTGGCTCGGCCGATCGGTTGATCGGATCATTGGACGGATTTTATATTACTTTATATCAAAGTTCGAATTAATTTGCGTTCGTAATGAGAAATGAGATGTACCTCTCTGCGAGCGGATATTTCGAGGGATGGAGAAATATTTCCGTGAGCATTGTTTCGCGAAGTGGACTTGATCTAACTTCCTGAATTATTTAGAAAATATAATAAAAATATGTAGGCAAAGAGACATTAGAAAATAGTTATATATGTGCAAAATCAACATCAGCATAGAGACTAAAATTTTAATCGATTTATTAATCTTTATTGTTCTTCTAACATATGAATAAAACTACTAATCTTATTCATATTTTTATTAGCTATTATGTATATACAACATAGAGAGAAATATTCAAGCCGAGTATCTAAATATCGCAGCTATATGAATTAAGTTTCCTCAGAGTTCGTAATAAAAGTCGGTCTTTATATTACGGCGTTAAAACTCGGTTCTTTGTTCAGAATATTTAATTATTACTTTTTAATTTTAAATTCGCAATTACTTCTTAATCCTGAGCGTAAACTACTAACATGTCTGCCTTGTGACAAGTAAACCGGAGGTTTTTGGTCTCATTGCTTCAATTTCTCGTTGCCATGCTCGTAATTTACGAGCGTAAAAATATCTAAGCGTGGCTGGATTGGTATGTCGAGAGTAGCGACGAGAGCGTCGATTTTTCGGCGTCGTGGATCTTGTTTGTCACAGCTCGTAGTGGCAGGTGCGTACACCTGCCCGTAATATTTACCTGGGCGCGCGAGAGATGGGATATAAATACGATTTTCATCCTCGATGACGGCGGAGACGAAGAAAGGTAGGAGAAAGGGAGGAGAGGAGGAAAAGTTGATAGGAAGAGTAGGTCGCTGGTGCGGGGCGACGCGGGATGGTAGCAAGGGCCTCATTTCCGGCGGAAACAGAGGTTCTCTCACCCTCCCTCCCTCTCTTGGTAAGAGCCATCCCGCTCTTCACACCCTTCTTACTTCAGGTCCGACGGTGGCAGCGGCGGCGGCAAAGTCCAATCGAATTAAATACGTTCCCGCGGTGGATCCAATCCGGCGACAGTGCCTTCGCGGTTTTTGTCTCGCGGTTCGTCCGAACGTTCCTGCTTCCACTTAAATCTTAGTGTAAATCTACTTTCTAGAGGTAAATTTGCTCTGGAAAGCCGGTTAAGGCTGTTAAGCTGTCATCACTGTGCTACACCTGAAGCCCGAATCGCCGAAATCCTTTGAGTTTTAACATTACCGCCGTAACTACGCTCTTTACGTTGAAATAGTCACGTGTTTTCTTTACGTTGAAATAGTCACGTGTTTTCTTTCACTCTCTTATATAGTATTCGCGTTTGAGCCAGGAGGTGCGAAAGTATATTTTACATATTATCACAATTTTTTATCTCGATACTAAAAGCACAGTGCGCATTTACCATAATTATGCATGTAACATATACTTTTGTGAAAAATGTAAAAGATTCTCACATTTCTTTAACTTGGCGTGTTGTTCAAAACTTTTCAAAATAGTTTCAAGCAGAATTTGTTAAGCAGGATAAACATTTATTTGATATAAAGATAACTCATCTTTTTATCGTGGTTTTAACGATGAATGATATGGTAAATATATCAAATCAGGATTAACAGAATCATTTGTAACGGTTTCACTTAACAAACGGAATCGACAGTTTTTCGGTAATCTCCATTATATTTGTCACATTTTCGAGTAGCCGCGATTATCGCAAAAATCAGAATTTTCAGCGTTACTAGACAATTAGTAATTAATTTAAAAAAAAAAAAAAAAAAACAAAACGGCATCCTCGGTGGCTGCACGAAGCCATCCATTATCCGTAGTCCCGATAAATCCCGCCGAGGTGTTCGGGGCCTCTTGTGTTTGGCAGATATATCAAGACTTCCTTCACCTCGTCGCCCCGCGCCAAGCCGCGATCGCCGTCGTCCTTTTCTACTTGTTCCTCCTCGCGCCGCAGACTTTCGAATCAGCCGAGATTGTCGATGCGACTCAGGGATGAGTGCGCTGATAAATCGAGAGATTTCTCCTCTGGCCGTAGGTTATTCTCAAACAGTTGACAGGACTGAAAATAATGCGAGTAATTAGATGAAATAATTAGACAATGACAAATTGAAAAAGAAAATATAAATAAAGGAATAAATAGACCCAAATCTGTCATATTAATATAAATATTTCTAAGAATAGAATTATGTGAAATGTAAAAGAGTTATGAATAATGAAATAATAATTAATGTTTCGAGTTTCGATGTCAACTTCCGATCGTTATTATTGTTATCCTTCGTATTTTTTTATTTTGAAGTGAAATATAAAAGAAAGATTAAACTCGCAGTCCTTTATTCTTTCTTTGTGTATTACAAACTGTTACTTTCAAATTTTTTAACCGAGCAAAGCGATTTAATATTTATCGTTAAACATAGAGATAACAGACGATGATGAGTCGGTTAATAACAATTTAAGTCACAAAATTAAGAACTTTTGCAATACCACTATTTTTCCGGGAGAAAGACTCGGAAGGCAGCTCGTCGCGGATTAATTTTCGCAAATATAGCGGTGTGGCTGATTTGATTTAAATCTGTCCGAGAGCGTACCTAAATTGGTTCCTGCGGGAGACAGCGTCGTTGCTTTATCCTTACGACTCCTGCCGGAACCGAGATACCACCGTTTTTCCCCGGCATCGAGAGATCTTCACACCGATGCTGCGTCCGTGATGGTGGCGACTGCCGAGAACGCGGGTAGTTGTAACAACGGTAAATCCTCGTTAGATGCGCGAGAAAAACAAAGGGCACCGACTGACTTGGTGATATTCTTTCCCTCTCTCTGAGTTTCTTATCACGCGAAGGGGTTGTCTGGCCTCCTTGCTTCCTGGCTTCCTCTTGGCCGCCTCTTTGCCTTCTCGTGGCGAATTTCCGGTTGCCGTCGTCAGTTTCCTTCCTTTTAATATTTCTTAAGACATTATGTGTCGCCACGTAATATAAGGAAGAAAATCAAAACTGCGAAATTTATTTAATTTGAGACATTTTATAATTATGTTTTTTGCTCGTATCGAGCTCGATCTGTCATTCGTTATTAATTTTTATTGCTCGTTAGTCAGTCACTTTCTTATTTTTTTATTGATAGATATAAAATGTATAACAGCATTAACAAGTTAACTATTTATTAAATTTTAGTTATTACGAAAAGTTTTAAATATTTATTAAATTTTAAATATTTCTATTAGAAAATAAAAATTTAAATAGACAATTATTTTAACTATTAAATCTAATATTAACTATCTAATCTAATATTAAGTCTAATATTTATCTAATTAATAAATAGTAATATTTATCTAATTAATAAAATTAAGTTTATTTTATTATCTTAATCACTGTAGAAATTAGTATATTATTATTACTATGTTTTACTTTTTTCTTATAATTTGAAAGGAATAAAATTGTGTGATTCTCTCTCCCATAAATTGAGAAAACGAGATTAAGTTGCCGCATCTTTTTGCGGCGATTTAATCTCATCATCTTATTAAAATCACAATTATCGATTTATTAAAATCACGCAATTTCATTCCTTCCAGAGAATTCCTTCAGAAGATAAAAATTTGGCACAACGATATTAATAATGAATGTTAATTTATTACTTGTGCCATTTATATTCGTAAACTATTGAGCATTTTCATTATAGAGATTACATTTACATAATATTATAAATTATATAAATTTTTATACCAGTGCAGCATTGATATTATATATCATTTTCAAGGATTAAACATTATGACTAAGCTTTCGAAATTGCGTTTAGAAAACAGAAATTAAGCTTAGTGTTAAATATTTTTCGATTAAAAACGAGAGGTTTTACATGATTCTAGACCGGATACATGGGATAGTAAATCATCCCATAATGAAAATAGTGATATCATAACGTGAATATAGAAAAACTTTATTCACACTCTAAGAAAACATCGTTTAATAAACTATGGCTCATGGCAACTCTTAGATAATAAAACAAGAGGCAATTTTAAAAACAATTAGGATTGCGCCTAAATGGATTACCCCTGTATCCATTCTAGGGTTAAGTATGATAAAGTTACATAAGATGTACATATTCATATGTAGATATAGCTCGTTCAAATTAGATACTTGAAATATATACAAGAGAATGGTATATTCGTGCGTATGATGTTTATTCTGTAGCACGTTGAATATTTTGTAATGTAATAGTCGGCATGGTTTCGTACTCGATAGTTGGTGTTTATTGTTGCTTTTTTGCGACATAGCTACGCAGCGCGTCGTGTGTATGTATACAAGATTGTAACGCAAGGTTGTAACGCTACCATTCGCGCAGCGACACTCGAGCAGGAAGGCAGCAACGCGCTATTTCTTCGCATTCTTTCCTCGAGATACGATCGAGATACGATGAGCACTGAAAGACAGTCAAAAACGGGATCGTCATTATTACGACTGTCGATTCGCGCGCGTATCGAGGCGACTATTAATTGTCGAAGTAGTTATTTCACGTGAATTCATTCGAGGCGACAGCGAACGGGAATTGTACGATTATTCTCGATGCTCGAATACATTTCGACATCTTGACTTTTTTATGACTTTTTTATGACTTCATCGTAATTTGCAATATTTGTTAATCGAAAGAGCAGATTCTACACTCATTCAAATTACACAAGTAGTAGTCGGAGTAGAATAGTCTAATTTAAATAATGAAAAGTCATGATATACCGTATTGTATTTATTAATAATACATGCATTTCGTGGAATTTATTCAAAATATTCAAAATATATGCGTTTACGCTTGTACATGATATTAAATTTTGACTATATTTTCGATCTATTCTAATTAGCCATTAAGCGCGACCTTATTAACTGCATCACGTAATATTAGGGTGAAAAGCAACCGTTGCTATTACACAATTAACCATGTTTTCACGAGTGAGTGTTGTTTATGTCATTGTGAAACAATGAGAAGTGGAAAACGTGAGCGGAGAAGAAATCCTGAGTGACGACGCGGAGTAATTATAGAATTAATAACTTATTTTCATCACTTTCTACTTGTGCATCGTTTCGGTAAGTTGTATTATTTTTTTATTTTATTCTCAAGAGGTACAATGGATTTATAATTTAAAATATAACGTATAAAATATGAAGTGATGAATTAAAAATTAAAGATTTATATATAAAAATCATTTTTTGGCGACTATATTTTAATGCATAAAAATTTAAATTTATAATAAGTATCATAATAGACTAAATATTTTGTGTATATTGTGTTACATACTTTTAATTACTTTAATTTAACAAATTGTTTAATAACTTTATTTATTATTTGTTTCTATGATACACTAAAAGTAATATTATAATAAAAGGGTATCATATATATATATATATATATATATGTATATCTCATAGATCCATTGTGTGCCTTAAAATGCATGGAACGTTATTCAAAATATTTAACTCTGGAATATAATCATTTATTGTATGTCGATTTATTGTATGAACAAGAACGAATATATATGAAAGCTCATAAAATAGAGCTTATTATCAATGCATCATTGACCGATTTGGTCATTTATTGGGATATTTTGGTGTATTATTATGCAGCAGAATATTAATTACGAAGTACACAAATTACTTGAAATTTATAGAGAATTAAAACTTATATGAATGAAAAAAGATAAAAAATATTTCACATTACGAGTATGTTTGGCAAAAATACATAAAAAAAGTTAATTTATTTACGTAAAATAAAAATGATTTCAAAATTCGGAAAATATCTGTTATTTAAAAATATATATTTTAAACACAACAATAATTCTTAATTATTTTTATAATACACCAGTTCTGTTTTAATTTTTTACGCTAGTCACTTATGTATACATATAGATATTGTCATAATTGATATATTATATGATATAAAATATAAAACATAATGAATCTAATAAAAATATTTAATGGCAAAAGAAAAAAGTTGTTAATATAAATTATCTCAAAATTGTTCAGATATTTAAAATATTTGATATTGAAATATTTCCCTTATTATACTCAAAATGACAATGATATTATAAATAATGATGGTAAAAATTTATAATAGATATATTTACGTATTTAGTATACGAAATATTACATTTTAAATTTAATCTCTATTTTCTAGATATAATTTTTTATAAGATTGATATTAATATTCAGTATTTAAAATTAATAAGATATGCCATATTGATAAAAAAATTTGTATAGAAAAGTATAATTAACATATGAACAAACTCATATTAATATTAACGAAGAGCGACTGGGGAAAAATCAGAGAAATCAACGATTTTTAAATGGTATTACATAATTGTATTATAATTTGTATCATAAAAAAGTATTTCGTTTTCGGATATGCATAATATAAATACAGGTTTTTAAATTAAAAAATTATACATAATTACTGTAATAATTTAGGTCATCGCAACGAAATTTCTTATATAAAAAATTACATAAAGACAAAATTAGCTAAAAATTAATAATAATGAAAATCAATATTATTTAAGCAAATAAAATAAATAAAAGATGATAGATCGACATTGTGTTCGCGTAATTATAGATTGCACCCGCGTACTCTATGCGATGCCATTTCGATAAATCAAATGCCTGATTGTTTTTAATTTGAAACCCATTTGAAAACTATTATGTTTTCAATATTTACGCATTAGAGACTTTAAAATTAATTAATCTTCAGCATGTGCTATTAAAGTATCGTACGATAGTTGTCGATCATTCCGTACACGGTATTCTTAGTGCGGGCGAGTCTCCGAGAGAGCACTCCATAGGCTAAGTAAATCAGAGGCCTTTGGCCAAGAGCGAGGTCACCCTTTAACCCCCATACCAGCCCCACCGTCGTCCCTTGCGTGATGACAGAAGTGGGGATGGCAGGGACAACAAAGGGTCGGCTAAGAGCTCTTCAGCGACCACTCGCGCACCTTCCCCAACCTAGGACGCATCACGTACTCTTCGGCTCAACTAGTCTTGCTTGCTTGCTTGCTTGCTTGCTTGCTACTTGCTACTTGCTTGCTTGCCCCATGACGTGATTGCCACCGAAATGTGTTTACCGTAAACCGTATCAAACTGTCGAGCGCCGGCCCGCTTCAGCGTTGTAGCCGTCTGTCTTTTTCGAGTACGTCGATAAAAGTACGTATCTCCATCAATTTCGCGAACCGTCCTTTTTGGTCATCGCGCAATCTTCCATTTTTCTATTCTTGCGAAGTTTATTCACCCCGAAGCAAATATATACAAAATCGATCTTACTCAATAAAATTTGTATTCTCTGTTACTGACATATCGGATTATGATTCGGAAGAAAGTAACTGTATGTAGATGGAGTAAATCCAATTATAACATTATTGAAATATTTTTCGATATTTGCTGATAAAATTTTATTTTAGTTAGCGATTTTTTATAAAAACTTCTAAGAAATCAGGATGCAGGACAGTTTCTTCTAGGTAACGTTAAATTAATAACGTTAAATTAATGTTAATTTAAAAAAACTTTTAGGGCAATAAATATATGATATGAAAATAATGTAATATTATAATTATAGATTGCATTTCAGATAAAACTTAAATTGTTTTTCTAAACAATTTAATATAACTTTTTTGCAATATCAATGCAATATCAATGCAGATATAAGTTATCTTATAATATTATTATAATTACGTATATACAATAAAATTATATATATTGTAATATAATTATTTATATTATATATACCCAATACAAATTCAATTGTTTATATATATATATGTTTTAATTCATATTTCGATGCTTTGAACGCGTATAATTATTTTTACTTTTAATGAAAATATATATATATTAAATATATATATATATATATATTAAAATATAATATATCAATTGTCTATGCATTGTAGACATATGTGGACTATGTGTGTA